CTGTGGGGAGACGGAAACCGAAAAAGCAGATTCCAGCATATCCAGAATAATAAGGACAAAAGAAAATATAAAAAAAGAAGGGAAACCTTAGTTTGTGAGAATTAAGATAAAAGATGGGGTCTGGGAGGGGAATCAAAAAAGGGAAAAATGAAGATGCGTGTGTGTGTCAATATCCAATCCCAGTTGGTGGATCATGCGCTGTTTGTCTTTTGCATGGTGGAGTTGAGTTGAGCTGTTGCTATTCTCTCTTCCAACGGCAAATTCTTACCCACACAGTTACCCCTGTCACGGACATATTGGCTTTCTGGTTCCATCTTGCTATCTCTGTTTCTCTCTCTCAATCAACCTTTTTTATTTTGCCTGTGATTAACGTGATCCCTTTGCCTTGCGTCATTTTCTCTCCCTAACATGAATTAACTTTTAGCAAAGCTTGTTTGGCTCTATTCCCTCCTCACACGCTTTCTATCGATTCTCCCTCCTCATGTCATGTGCCCATCTATCCAAAAGATATGCCCTTTCATCATCGTTTCCTTCATTCATGCTTTTCCCCTTCTCTCGCTATTTTATTTAATCCATCTTACTCATCATTATTATGTTACACACGTGTCTGGTTCTGCGTTGCACGTAATTTTAAAAGTAAACATGACGTCCTATAAATCTTTTACTTTATATTGGTGGTTATTGATTTTATTGATGTGATTTGAGCGTCTATTAATCGTTTTCATACTATGGCTATCCGTGGCTCAAGTTGATGAACTCAACTTATCCGCAAAAGTTCAGCATCATAGTGCTACTAATTAATCAGGGAAATTTTCATGACTAAACAATCTCTTCATCATGTTGATAGAATGTTGTGGTTTGTAGAGTGTTAATAATTGGATGTGTATTGTGGCGTGCAGGTTCTTGGACAAGGCTGCGATCATAGATCAGGAAACAGTAGGCGCAGGCACGGAAGAGAGGAAGTGGTATCTATCGACTCTGACAGACGTGGAGGAAGTGAAACTGATCCTAAGGATGTTGCCAATCTGGGCCACCACCATCATATTTTGGACTGTGTATGCCCAGATGACAACATTCTCTGTGTCCCAGGCAACCACCATGGACCGCCACATCGGGAAATCATTCCAGATCCCCCCAGCTTCCCTCACCGTCTTCTTCGTCGGAAGCATTCTTCTCACAGTCCCCGTCTACGACCGAGTCGTCCTCCCCGTCGCAAAAAGACTGCTCAACAACCAACAAGGACTGTCCCCTCTGCAGCGCATAGGGGTGGGGCTTTTTTTCTCAGCATGCGCCATGGCCGTAGCAGCACTCACTGAAATAAAGCGTCTCAGAGTGGCAAAGTCAAATGATTTGACGAACAAACCCACGGCGGAGATCCCCATGAGCGTGTTCTGGCTAATCCCCCAGTTTTTCTTTGTGGGGGCAGGGGAGGCATTTACGTACATAGGTCAGCTAGATTTCTTCCTGAGAGAATGTCCCAAGGGGATGAAGACGATGAGCACGGGGCTGTTCCTGAGCACACTGTCGTTGGGGTTCTTCGTGAGCTCATTGTTGGTGACAATAGTGCACAAGCTGACGGGGCAAAGGAAGCCGTGGCTGGCCGATAACCTTAACCAGGGCAGGCTCTATAACTTTTACTGGCTGTTGACCGTTGTTAGTGGGGTCAATTTCGCGGTGTATCTACTTTGCGCCAAGTGGTACGTGTACAAGGACAAGCGGCTGGCTGAGGAGGGCATAGAATTGGAGGAACAGGACGCCGCTTGCCATGCTTAGGACTAGGAATAGGATTATTCTACCTTGTATTTTCCCCTGCTCTCCCTGTGTCATAATTTAGCCTGGCAGCATTTGACATGTGAAACAAATTGCTGAGCGTTTGTATCCTACAAGGTCGTAAGTTGTGATAACCGTTTGCATGTCTGTATAATGAAAGCTAGATCAAGCAAATAATTAAGGCGGAAAAAGCTTACTGACTGTCAACTTCATATGAGCACGTCAAAGCCCAGTGTCCCCCCCCCCCCACTTTTTGGTATGCGGATGAGGAGTTAGTATCATTAAGGAGCATGTGCATGTCCATATATAAGAACTTATCAAGTGAATAGTAAATTTTATCCTTTCCAGGGAACCTTTTTTCAAAAGAAATAGGAATGATGGGTATGGATCAGTGATGAGACCCTAGCACTAGCGGCCGTTCCTTTTATATCTTCAACCAGCAAGTGGAAGTAGTTACATGAATTATATGATGCTACCTTATTTTATTAACAGACCGTTGAAAAAGTTTATTAACTCTTAAACTTTTGAGTCAAACATAAAGTGCAGATAAGTTTTCCATTTATTTTGTTTTTGTCCTACAGATAATAAGTAGTCAATATTATTGAGAAGCGTATGCATGCACGTCAGAGTAAGATCCTATAAAGTGAACAGTAAATTGTGTCCCTTACACTAGCTAGGGACTGGACTTCTCTTGAATAATTGAAGTAGGAATGACGGATATGAGTCGTTGATGGCATCTTAGCAGTGGCCGACATTCTTTCTACGCTCAACAATGACATTAATAGCAAATTTTATCCTATCAAGCATAATCATCATCAGTTACATAAATCATATCATATCAATAACTCACTTTCCATCTAGATATACTATTTATTTCTGATAAAGTTCTATCTGATAACTTTCCGTGTTAAATTTGACAATAAGAGAGAAAAGAAACCACACCTTTGTTCAAAGTTCAAATTAACTGAGTTCCTGTTTTGATTTTCTAGCCCCCACACGCAGAGAGAGTGAGAGGGGGAGATCCATATCGGGAAACGGTAGATAGATACAAGATAGTGAATCAGAAACAGGAGCAGTGGGAGCAGAGATAAAAGCTGAAAAGGGAACACGTATTCGGTAGATGGTCAGACAAAATTACAAGAAAAAGGCGGGAGGGAGACAGCTCACGAACATTGTTTTCATTCATGTAAGCAAAAGTCCAAAACCAAAACCAGAGGATATATATATTAAAATATGAAGAAGAAAGTGGGAAGGAGAGATGAAGGCATGCATGTGGAAATCCTTAAAGGTTGGGATATTGCTTTAATTTAATGGGGATGTTCTCAGATCAGTGTCCCAAGTGGGAAGCATCCACTGCGCATTGATTGCCTCACCCTCTTGACCTCTTCTGTAACGTTAACTTCTGATATTCCCAATCATCTCCCAATCCCCAAATCAATGCAACGCCCATCTCAACATATCCATTCCTTATTTGCAGCCCCCACCAAAAACATATATACATCTACTTCTTTAAATATCTGTAGCCACCATGGACTTGGCTTGCTTCAACATATCTGTCAGGTTGCATCAATTATTGGACTTGGACATATGGGCGTGAACTCTGAATTGGATAGCCCCACCGCCGCCGCAGTCCGTCAATTTTTGTGATGGGAAGCAATTGTCCAACGCGCTTAACACACTATTTTGGGTTTGGATGGAAAGCTTTCCATACATATGTGCTTGGGCTTTCACACATCACTTTCGCCCATTTGGAGCTTTTGAAGTCTCTGATGGGTAACTGTGGTTTTTGAAATTTGGGATACGACAAACTACGTACGTAATATGCAAGAATGAGTTGTGGCCGAACAGCTTTGGAATAACCCGTGTTTTTCTCATGTATACACAAACCCTATAATTTTGACTTAGTTAGAACTTAATCTTTAAGTTTTAACTCATTACAACTCAGTCATTACAATTTTAGTCATTTAAAAGTTTATTTCCCTCTTTAGGAATCTTATAATTTTATATCTTATTGCAGTTTAATATTTTTAGGAAAGGATCTTAATACGGAGAAGAGGAAATAACTATAGATAGGTTGAACAGTTCACTTGTATATTTAACATTACTTCCAATTCTAAATATAAGAGCTAGTTTGTAATACAAATTATATTACAAAATCAAAATTTTAGATTTTATGTAGAAAATTTATCTCTTCTTACTCCACCAGATTAGTTAAGGATTGTTGATATCTAAACTTCATTCTGAATTCAAGTTTTTAGTCCAGCTTTCTTTTTTCTTTCTTTTTTTCGGCTTTTTGAAATTGAGGTTGCTGGATAAAATTTTCCATTGAACCCATTATTGCTGCAGAGAAGTGAGGAAGTTGAATAGAACGGAGGTAATCAGATGTATGGCCTAATTTGTCATCAAGCTTTCAACAACCTTTTTTTCCTCAGTTCGCATTTTCAGTAGGTGCTAAAAACTAGGTAGAAACTCACTTGTTAACCTAAACTTTTCAATATGCCGCTGAAATTAAATATTCCCTCCCATTATAAATATGAAAATATTTGATGGATTTCTTTTCACCCTGAATATAAGATGGACGCATTATTTTTCATAAATAACGTACTTAATTAATTTTTTAAATATATATAAATTACATGTTTGAGAGAATAATTTATCATGATGCAGGATAATGATTAATAACTATTAGAGTTGTCAAAATTGGAACGGCCAGCCCGACTGAAATCAGCCCATGTGTATGATCATGATGCTGTCAGTCAGAACGTCCACCAGAATGGAGGGAAAAGTAGAATCGTTAGAACTAGTTGGTGTTAGAATTCCCCCCCCCCCCTCAAACCAAAAAAAATCAATTATCCAAAGTTATGTTATTTTGTTTTTGTTTTTTACTTAAGTTTTGATTGGGTTTTCTTTAATATCATATATATTTGGGGATTTATTGATAATTCTAGTTAATCATGTAGGCTTCTGCTAATTTAGTTGACAACCAAATTTTATATTTAAGCAGGGTCGTACATAAAACTACGTTAATTTAGCATGAGACTGGCATAAACAAATATCACAGGCATACCAGGCATATATGAAAATTTATAAATAAATATTGGCTAAATTTTTTCTTTCATATGTATTATTTAAACAATATTATTTTAATTAAGACCCGTTTAATATAATATCCGGTTTGGCTCAAGGCCCGGTTAGGTTATGACAACATTGATCACGATACATATTTGCCATTTATTTCTTGAAAAATATCAAGGATAATATTGTTATATTATAACAAATCTACATCTCTTTGGCCAAGTCAGCAACCATGGGAGGATTCAGGAGAAAGGGAGAGAGAGAAGCTCATATCATACCCCAACAATAATTACATATCTAGAAGATAAAAAGTAAAACCCTATTATACGACAATCATAGACATAGACGACACCCTGATGTAGCTGATGAATTATTTGCTCATATGCTCATCAAAATCAAATAACAGCCTCAATTTGGGATTTCCTTTCTTCTCTCTTTCTTTATCTTTTGCCAAATCAATTGATTTCGACTCCATGACAGATTCTGGAAAGCCTAGTCTATATCATGCCCATAAATGAAAATACACGTCTACCCACTACTACCAGCCCTAGGCGATTGGCCGATTGAGGTTTGTTCGATTTCACAAGGCACATCCGGGAAAAGATGGATGGACGTTTTTTCTATCACTTTATGTTTTGGTTGTTCGCTTCACGTCGCTGGAAGAAAAATCTACGAAGCCATTCACTCCAGTCAGGCAACCATAACTGAAAGTCGATCCGCTTTTTCACCAGTCCCAATGGCCCCATGCTACAACTTCGAAGCTAAAGGTTCCTGCTGCCTCATTTTCATATATTATCGCTATCTCAACTCTGCAATAGTGTTGGAATGTCATTACCGCAGATAATCAACTCTGATCTCAGACATTTCATTGTGTATGTGTTCGTGCTTAAGTTGCTAGAGAGCAGAGCCAAATATGGTTAAAAAAGACGTACAAGTTACCTGAATTAAATCAAGATGCATCTAAAGGGTTTACTAAGTTTTCATTGACTTCAAATATATTTGGGCACTCATCCCATATTCCTCGCTCTCTGGCTTCCCAATACCCGCCTACATAGCGAAATGTTCCGTCTTCTCCTTCTCTTCGGAACCATCTTGGTTTCCAGCCATTTTCTTGCATTTTCCTCGACTAAACAAAAGAAACAAGTCGATTATCAGCACGATAATGATAGGGGGAAAAATAGTTCATCAAAGGTCTTAAATATAATCTATCCATTCCTACCATAACAACCACCACCTATCCATAGTGTGGCTTGTATATATCAAGGTTATCCATCCATACCGTCAACTTATATGACGTGCATTCACTTCAAAATTCAAATGAACAAACTTGACCAAAAAGGAAAAACTGGATCGTTGAAACGCATAATATGAAGCTACAAGGAAGGAAGAAAAGTTATAGACAAACACAAGCAACAGGCAACAAACCATGTATCGTTTTTTTCTCTGTTTTCTTCATGTTTTTTTTTTCCCTTGGGTGGTGGGGTGATCAAAAGGAAGAGGCACAAAAGGCCAAAATGGCTCTTGGTCAGTACCAATGCAGTCACACTTATGCACGATATGGACAAGACCCGCCAAACATACCATTCTTTGCCTCCTTTCCAACCTTAATTTCTCTGAGTTAGCCTTCTCGTATTCCCCATTTTCCAAATACCGCTGATCTGGTCTGAGCCTGGAATCCGTGGGTGGGAGTTTCTCCTTTAACCCGTGATCAAATACCCGGGATCAGACAAAGCTATAAAAGACAATTAGAGATGCATAACAAGAAAATCGGAAATGCACATCAAATACTGATTTAATACATCCTCGCTACCTTCAGTCCTGGCGTAAGCTCGTTCAATGTGATGGAAAAAGATGTCATATTGTACCGCGTCAGGTTGGTGGGAGAATTGGTCCTTTTCCACAATAGACATGCATCCGATGAACTGGAATCTTTTGGCCTCCCATTCACGTCGCCAATAATGTAAGACATGCTATCATCCCACTTGCCAAATAATGAAGCAGCTTTTTTCCCCGAAGCATCTTCAATGACTCCAAGTACCTGATCAGTCGCAAGATAGTTAAACGCATAGAGTACTCTGGTTCAAGCATGCAAAGATAAAGGATAAAATGTTGCTAGTCATGAGTAGAACCCCTACCTGGTGGGGATTTCGGTCAAGAATTGACTGTTCTTTGAATTTGAGTCTACACGAGTATTGGCGGTTACCCCGTATGTCCATGCTCCCATGATGGTCACAGTATATTTTGCCAAGGATAAGGTTATATATTGTTGTAGTGACCTGATAAGAGCAACCAGAAGAAAAACAATTTATTATAATATGTACTTGCGTGCTGCTGAAAGAGGGTTGTTCAGCAATGCGAACCTTGCTCCACTGAAATATTTCACCATCATCAAACTCTAGGGTCAAAACTCCTACTGGATCAAGCTGAATTGACCTTCCCCAAAACTTTGAACGGATGTTACTGTCACCCCAAAACTTCCATCCTCTACCTTCACAGTGGCAGGCAATGAGGGTTGGATGGTGACTGACCTATTGCAATATATATTAACGGGAACAAACGAACAAACATCAAAATCTGATTTTGTTGAAGAAGCATATCAATATTAGGTAGACAAATATATATCTAAAAAGTAATTCTGATTTTTGATGTAGATGAATCATACATAGTTGGCATAACAGAATTACTAATGACGACCAAGGTTGATGTGGATGAATCATACACAACCTCAGTCCTTTCATTTCCCAACTACTCAAGAAGTCCCTTGTATTTTCAACTACTTCGACCTCTTCTGCTATTCTAAAGGACTTCATAGTTTTGCTTTGTGAGGCCAAGGTTGAATTTCGGATATATAAAGCATAACTCAAACTCTAAGGTCATTTCTGATCCCTACTCCAACATTAATACCACAGCTTCATAATAACCTGCGTCTCCCTCAACCATATATGTTGATCATTGAATTACAAGGCACAAACCTTCTCAGAAAAGAAGCGAATTCCTTTCTCAGGATAATCAGCTTCATATGTTTCCCCCAACAAAGGATTAAAGGGTTTACAATGACGACCTTCAGATGATGCATATCCCGAAACTGCAAATGCAGCAACATTCAATGCCCGGAGGAGACTGTTTCCCTGAAAAAAGAATTCCAATGGAGAAGTTTCGTATTCAGTAACACGATAATGATGAAAGCTTTTATTCTTTAAATCTGTACATCATTGAACCACAAAAGCTTGTAAACAAAGCAGAAGAGGAAGACTTCAGATTTCCAAATGATTGGGACAAAGCTGCATCCTAAAGACCTCTGGACTTACATCAGTTGGACTTAGAAAAAGCCACTCTCTATAATCATGGATCATAAACTAGACATTATTCTCAATTTAGAGCAATTACTTGCATAAATATTTCAATAAGCACCCGCGGCAGAAGTGACAGTCTCATATCATAATATTAAGAGATAATTTATTTCAATTTCTATGCCCCGTAATTGAATTATTGCTAGGTAGAAAGTATGGTTTTTCTTCCACTTCCCTCCATTAATGCACATCAAAGTGAAATTCTTTCAACAATGAGTTGAAATCCTGCGATTGACACAGTCAAGAGGATAAACACAGAGCAACCCTCAAAATTTATTGCAAATTGAAACTTAAAGAATATATTTCATTGCCAACAAGATGAAGCAATCTGAAACCAAAACCAACGAATAACATATCATTCACCAGATTAACAGTTCAATAATATACTGGTTTTTGGGCCAAAAACGTAAAATGATACACGAAACACAAGTTTTGAGTTGCTATTTTTTAAATGTTAACACTTCCAAGACAAATTAATGGCACAATCTAGACAGAGATGGGTATCTTACTGATTTTCCATACTCATAAGCTTGATCCAAAAGATAAGAGTACTCCAAGTCCTCGCAACATTTCTGAAGAGATGATAGAGGCTCATTAAAGTACACAGGGAGACAAACTCGAGTGAGATCCTTGCCCACGTTGTCCTTGATTATTGACCAAAGGCTAACACCTTTCTCTTTCTCTACAGGATCTGGAAGCTTTTTTCGTCTTGTTATCTGAGGATTCCTAGAATTATAGACTGCTTTCTCTGGCTGAGTTTTCTCCGCATCAATGCATTTAGAGCGAGATTCCCTGGGTTTGTTCCCCTCATCCAGATCTCTCTTAGACCCCCTATTACCAGCAGCTTCTGTAAAGTACTCTGCAGTATCATAAAATGAGATCTCATCTTCATCTGACACTTCCTCCATATCCTGTTTCTCAATATCATCGGATGATTCAGTTGTACTGCACTCTGACAATTAAAAAAAAAATGTTTGAAAATACTGTAACATTAAGAAATTGTTTCGAAAAAATTATAGTATATACTAACAGGATGAGATCATATATAAGCATATTTATCATGAGATTTGATTTAAACAAACAAACGCCAAGGGACTCCATATTTATCATAAGATAAGCATTTCAAGTTTACAGATGGAAATAGTGAATCTGGACAAACAATTTCGAAGGAGAGATTATAAGTTAATAAACATGACATTGACTGCAGAATTTTTAAACCTGTGTTCATAGCAGAAAAGACAAACAAACCAGAACCTCAAGTCCGCAAAGGAATCACATTACATACTATTATAATATATCGGAAGAAGCCAGCAAATAGAGGCGTATGAACGGGGATCAACCAGCAATGTTAATTAAACCAAAACATAGGTAGTGGAGGAACGCAGTTCATGAAATGGACAGAGTTCAAGAAAGGTGGCATAAACAATCCATGACAGCAATATTATTCAAGTTCAATAAGACAGAGTATAGCTCCCTATGCTGGCTTTCAAACAAGACAAAGCATCACCATACAGCCACATGCTAATACGTCAGGTAATAAAAGTAAAAGCCACAGCATCTGTAAAGGGAAGCGGTAGTAGCAAATGCAAAGGTGGTACCCGTACCACTATATTTTCCACGTCCTAGACTAGAAATGTCATGCTTCGTTAATTGATATGCACCATCATGGATTCCCGAGGCTTCAGGTTCAATATTAGCTGCCTGTTTAGGATCAATAAAAGTATTCAGTTTTGCAAGTGGCACAGAAACGAACTGGCCGATGCACATTTGGAGACCAAGCAAAGAAAGACAGGACACAAATGATAATCAAATGTCAAGTAAGAACGAAGAATAGACATGAAGAAAGAGGATTAAAGGCTATAAAAGTAATATGAATCACGACAACTTTGGTGGAGGGTAAGGAGAAAACAGTTGACACGTTAGCCAACATATCATATGCGTCTTGTATATAAGCTACTCGACCTGGCTCCTGAAATACCACCTCTAGTTGCGCCAACATGAGTTACTAGCTTATCTCATCATATGAAGCTAGAGCCCTATGCTTCTTTAACATGTATTCATCTGATGGGAGCAAAATTCTAATGTAATTACTTAATATCGAAGACCTCTCATCGCAGATACATTTAAAATATTCCGTTCCAGGAAAACATTCAACCTGGTCGTTTTGGTTCATAAATACACAACGTTTTTGTTTGCACGCGATACTTTCGTCAATGATAAGAAACTGTGTTGAAAATTCGAAATCATTATGTCAAAAATAAAATCATGGACAGGAGAAAAAATAAACATCAATTGATAGTGAAGAAGTTGGTCATATTTCTATTAATTGAGGAACCCAAAAGGAAAAAAAAAATAACTAAGAGAAAGATTAAGCAGCGAAAGTTGCAGCTAAGAAAAAACTTTCGCAAATAAGAAAAGAGGAATAACACAACGCAGATGCTTGGAACGAAACGAAAGTATCCTATGCAAGAATATTCAAAGAAGGTCTGGACAAGCTGACTCACTACCAGTTCATCCATGGTGGCACCCACGATAAGAAAAATGCACTTGCGAACGCTAGTCATTTCAAGTCATAATGATGTTGCATGATTCATAATTCAGACAAACATAAACATAAGTTCTCCTCCAGTAAATATGAAACGGTTGAGGACTTCTTCAAGGAGAAAATTAATTTGACGTGGTGGTTTTGATTTTCAAATCAACCAAATATGAAGGTCGCTGCAGGTAGAGAAAGCTTTGAGTTACCTCCAACTGCCTTATAGTATCGAGCAAATTGGACCGTTCTTCACAGAGAATTTTGAGTTGGCCTTTTATTTGCGAGAATTCTGAGAGCATGATTTGTTCACACTCCTTCACAAGGTTCTCAGTGGTTCCCTCTTCAAGCAAGCGTTTTCTAAGCCTCTCAGTTGATATAGATATATCGTTGGGTACAAAAGAGAGGTTATCACTGAGGGGTCTAAGTGGATAGAGGCAGCGAGTTGAGACTAAAGCCTGTATCCATGCCACCCTATCTCTCTTTGAATCAGTTCTGAGATGGAGAGTCTTCGTTGCTGTAAATATATAGAAGCGGCGATCATCCGACTTGCTCTCTCTAAATGACGAGATCTGCTCAGAATTCACACAAAATTGGTCATTAGAATAAAATTCAAAGCAAAGCGGGGAGGAGAGCCTTACTGGATAGAACTCTGTATTCAGAAAGCGGGCGGAACATGCATCGATTCCTGGGGAATCTTTTTTTTTTTTTTTTCTGAAAATTCACTTTTCTGGTGTTAGAAGGCGCTAATCACTTTCGAACGAGTAATATTTTATGAGCTGAACCCCACTAAGTTCGAATGATTAGTCATCCCGGCCACCAAATTACGCTGCTAGAATGATTCAACGCATGTTTGACCCAAACAAAAAAAGAAGAAGAAGAAGAGAAAAACCAACACGAGAGTGCGTAGGTTTCAAGAAGCAGCTAATGGAAACCAATTTATACAAGTTATCATCTTATTACTTCCTCGATTAGCCGCTTATTTGGGACAAGAGTGCGCGAGTTCTAACAATGGCAGCAACATTTCATCTTCCCTTTGCTAAATCATAAAATCTATGTCCGTATCTTTGTACATATAATAATTATATATCTAGATAACATCATCTCTGTATAAATACGTACTATTTGTCGTAGTCAAAAAAATTTATAACAATACGTCTGAAATCTGTATGTATCACACAAGACACAACTTAATTAAATCCAGTGTTCACAACAATGCAACTTATGAAATTGGGTGCAACTTACATGAGCCACAACTTACTCTAGCCTAATCCGCCAATATAACCTAAGATTTATGAAGAATTGCATTACTTGCACCCTTGAAAATATATACCTTATTTTAATTGCTGCACAAAACATGGACCGAATTTTGGGGTTTTTTTTTTGGGGGGGGGGGGATTATAATCAGATCAAAATATATCATTAGATTAGAATATCTGAAAGTAAATAGTTTGAGCGATAGCACCCTCCGTCGTCACTAAAAAGAGTTTTAAAAAAAAAAAAGTCATCAACCTCAACAAGACAACAAATATATATATATTTACTTCCTTTTCCCCATACTTTTCTTCGCAGATTCCGCACCACTAATTATAGTCCCTAACAGTATTCGCTAAAGCCTAAGTAATGTTAATTGATCCCGCCATGGGAGCAGATGAAAATATATGTAGAGTACTTGTTTTCCTATGCCGTTACGGCTATAACGGAAGTCAGATGAATTGTACCACTTACTGTTTCGGCACATCGGAATATTCAGATTTACAGTAACAATCTGGAGGACAAAGCGTCGAAACGCAATGTGAATAATCGCGGCGGCGGGCTGATGAGAAAGAAAATACCGAAACCAACCAAGAAGGGGATCGAAGAACTTGAGAGATTAACCTAACTGATTTTCCCCTTCGCCGGGGGCGAGGCTCTCAAGTCAAGAGGTGTGGGAGTGGATTTGCAGAGTCATGGCAGGAGGAAAACGTCTGTGAGTGGAAAATACTACTAGGAAGAAGGCTATTTTAAGACCTGAAATCTATCCAACGATGTTCAGGGAATGATATGACCGCAAGTTAATGCGGTGGGCTACAACATAGGCTATCCGGACCCTCACCCACCTGTTGATGTGACCCACTAGCCTTTAACAACCAGTTGAAAAACAGTAACATTGCATTAAAAAGTCCAATTTTGAAATTAAAACACGCGACTCAAGAGAGTGAGAGATTGAAAACAGGCAGAGACCGTGAGAAAACGATGGTGGAAACTTAAAACCATCGGATAAATACATGATCGCTCGGAAATCGAAGCTTTTTCTGGCAGAAATAGATTCTGATTGGGATTTCCATGACCCTGGTTGCTGTTAGTCTAGCGTTCGTGGCTCAAAAGTGAACAAGAGTGTTATTTTCTTTTCTAGTTCAAGGTGGCAAGTTCAAACTTGAAATCAAAATACTGCCTTGCATCTACAAGAAACTTGCACCAGAACCCAATCGTCCCGCGTTTATCACTGTTACTCAGATCGCCATCAACAAATCGACCTGTGTTCCCACAAGAGAGAATAAACAAAGCAATCAATCAAATAATTCAATGCTTACGTTACCTTGAGATGGACTACCCCAGAAGAGGTTTTATGGTGCTTTCGTCTCATGTTACTCCCGCCGTCCATTCTTGCCAATCGATTGGTGGAAATTTCGCCGATCAACTTGACGTCTTCGGCGGGCGTTAGGAGATTGAGGTTCTCCGGCCATCGGATCTTGGCGTAAGAAAGCACGCCATTCCTCAATAGAAACCATCGGGATCTCCACCCTTTACCATAATTAGTCCACTTGTATAGAATGCCGGCCACCGTAGTCTCCGATCCCTGAGCCCGTCCACTGGCAATGCCATCAGATCCAGCAGCCTCGAAACTCGCCGGCAGACTTCTGGTCCTCGAAAGAGACGCATCCGGTGATTGGTTCCCGATGCCGGGACTTTCGAGGGAAATACAGCACAAAGGATGCATTTCTTTCACTCGCATTTTGACTTGCTAACAATTTCTATCTCCTTCTATCGAAAACAAGCGATGCCAGATATCAGTCCTCAACCGAAACACCGGCTGCATTCAAAATGCCGTGAGATGAAGAATGAATGGTGGTTAGAAGTACAAAAGGCGGCTTCAATGCAAGGTAAAGAGCACTTGAGAGGAGTTATGAAGCTTGAAGGAGAGAAAGAGATGGAAGGATTAAATTGATAAAGGGAGGGAGAGGAAAAGGAGGAGGGTGCAGCATTCAGTTTAAAACTATCGCAAATGGCTTAAATTGAGTAGCAGAGAATAAATAACCAAGGAAGAAGGAGGAGAAGAAGAAGGGGTTGATTGAAGAAGCTTTGCAAATTTGTATAGCTTATTAGAGGGATGGATATGTATATAAATATATATATAATCATACATATATGTAGATTACAGAGGGTATGGAAGAGGAGGTTGAAAAGGGAAGCAGAAGGTAATAAAGGCAAAGGCAGGATGGTAAATAAATGAGCCTTGAAGCATAGCACAGCTTCTTCTCCTTCCTCTTCCTTTCCCTCTTCCTCTCTCTCTCCCCCTCCTTGGCTTCTGCTGCTGCGTCTTCTTTTTTGCTTTTTCAACTTGTCAATTTGGTAGGAGGTGTGACTACGAGAGAGGGGGAGCTCGCGAGAAACAAAAGGGAGGAATTTATCGGTAAAATATCGGACGAGTGGGGAAGATCATGACACGGCGAGTTTGAACGAAGACTCAACGATTCACGGCGTCGTTGCTGATGTGGATGAGTCGGGAAGAGCGTTTGTTAAATGCCATCGACAGGATAATCATTGGGAAAATCATAAAAAAACCCCTAAAATAGAAAAATTACAAACAGGAACCACTTCATAAAAATTATTGTTAAAACTCATACTAATATTGTTATAGATCCTAATTTGTAATTTTTTTTTATTTTGGTGGTCTTTTTTTTTTTGCAATTTTTCCATAATCATTAACAATATTATTATTTTATTATTTTTACACTAAAAGATGGTAATATTAAATCAACATTTTTAGCTGGCAAAAAAAAATCAACATTTTTAATATTCCATGTCAATTGATCATTTTCAGTTGGGAATTCGCCTCTTTTCTAATATTTAATTGTATGGAATCTGGCTTTTAGCATCCCCATCTCAAGCAACATTCACGTCTGTTGCTGAGAGTAGATATCTTTGTCTAAGAAAAATTCGTTTGATCAGTACGAAGTGTAAAATATACAATTACTTTCAAAATTCATGTTGATACAACTCGTCTAAAATATTACAAAATTTATGTAAAAGGGTTCATAGTTATGAATTTTCATATTATTTCATATAAATTACAAATAATGTATACATCAAATTCAAATGTATGTGTCATATGGTCTTAAAATTCAATAACATCAAACGTTTAAATTTTTTTTTTAATGTGATGACGTTATGAATTTTTCATATCATATAAAATACAAATATATATCATTTAAATGTATGTGTTATGGTCTTGAAACTTAATAACGCTAAATAATTCTTTAAGTCTTTTTTATCAATGTGAAGCTGTAAGTTTGAACTTTATGTGAATGATATAATAAGCATGCGAGTCATGAGAAAAAAAATTACACACATATACACACACACAAAGTTTAATATCCTATCGTTTACACAACGAAAAATGCAAATGCACAGTACTATACTCTAGTAAAATATAAAATTTATGGTAACTAGAGTGGGTGCGCAAAATTTAAAAACAGCCCACATGATTTATAACTTATAAATATTGGAATTTGTAGTTAGCTTCTTCTTTTTTTCCATTGGGACTGATTTAACTACGATTTTGGTGAGACCAGTAACTTGACTGGTTGAATGTCAGGTCAGCTATAACAGTCTTAATATGCTACATTCGATATATTATATGAAAGGAACACCATAATCACAAACAAAAAAGGCACCCCTTAATAAGCACCATTGATCATATATGGTGCAATAATATAAGCTGGAAATATATGGGGGTTGGAAGAAGAAAAAATGTTAACAAATTACGAGTATTTAATTAGGAAAGACATACGGTTTGCAAAATTATAAAATATCTGAACACTATTTTCCGAGTATTATCTTAGTGGAAGAGAAACTTAGAGCATGCTGAAAATGTGGTGATACTTTGCAAAAGGCCGAGACAAAAATCAGCGGAGAAGCATTATACATGGGTGATTGGGTGCGACCGAACAGGGTTTATTTCCGGCCCGGGCCAACGGAAGGCAAACAGATTATAACCTTAACAATATCTTTAAATTTAATGATGCGGGATGCCTCAAACAAGATTATTTTTGATAAAATGATACTTATGTCTGGAAAAAAAGGTTCATATAAATATATATATATATATATATCACAGCTTTATTACTATTTTTCTTTTCTCGATTGCCGTATGACGGGTATAGAAATATTGGCACGCGGATAATTGATACAGTGATTAGTGTATTAGTACCTCATGTGCTTGATATAAAAACTAATTTAATTTGACTTTCAATTTGATTCTAAATAAAAGACTCAATCCATTTTTCTCAAAGTAATTCTTATAGTAATTGCATATATTAAATGTTTCATCAAGTGACATTTAATTAACAAAAATATTTTAAAAAAACACCTATTTATTATAAATAACTAATTTAATTAATTTTTTTAATATTCTTACATCAAGAATTGAAGGTAGTAATATTTTTCATAATTTTCCTTATGTTGGAGACATTTTGAAAATGAAGATTTTTCAGAGATGAAGGAGAACAATTGACAGAAGCAAATGAGTACCACTGCTCCTAATATAATATTTAACTGACTAATTTGGAGAGATTAATAAAGCTAAACAAATCACTTTAAAGTATTAATATTTCTTTTTTAAAGCTAATTTTTCTGATTTATTAACTGATATAGATATAATAATATATATAAGTATTTCAGAAAGATCATATAATATATATTATAATTAAATAATTTATTTAAATTTTTAAATCTTATCAAATTCAATTGGATTTTATATTGAGGAGGGGGTAGTATAAGATATAAGAAGATCAACCAACAATTAATTGCTTATACCATGGGTCTCAGGTATGAAAGACGCACGTATACAAATGGCAGAAGCGACAATCACAAGGTCAAGGCGTCAGGCCCTATTAAATTAGGATATTTGCAGCAAACCTTTTAATTATTTACTACAAGCAAGGAAAAAAAAAAGGTGTTTTAGCCACACTGTACATTGTTTCTTATTCTTTTTTCATGCTTCCGCTAAACACTCTATATAAATTAAGAAAATTAATTTTTTTTTATAAAAAGTCTAAAGTCATCATCAATAAAAGAAAAATATTAGTTAAAAGAGCAGTGTATTACAATTTACATAACATAGATGAGAGCCGGACGAGGTATATTTTAACTGCAATCTAAACCACGGTTCGATTTTTGACGTTGTTCTAAATAGACCTAACATGCGTCGTTAACATAGGGTGAGCATTCGGCTTTGAAATTATTCTCTCTCTTAAAGGCGCAGACCTCTTTGTCCAATCATTAGCATATATGAAATTCACTGATCAATCAAACATTTGGAAGTGTTTGCAGGCAAGAGAGGATTCATGAAATTATGCTAAAAAAGGGGAGAACAACATGATATAAATAATAAAGGGCAAGTATATATATCGTGCTGTGATGTCGAAGGCAAATTAAAAGTGATGATACAGCTTTGAAAGTTCAGACTCTTTTTAAATGCTGATCTATATAACATCAAAAGAAAAAACAAGTACCCAATAAAAAAGATCATTCCACTTTTGCTTAAACAAACAGGTTTAAATTATCCGAGTGAGGTAGCAGCACACAGCAGAAGGCTCGAACATAATATTTTTTATATATTGCAGTTAAGTGATAAAAGAATAATACAGAGAGGGACAAAAGCAGGGGAGGACCCAGAAAGTTCTTTTTTTTTTTAAGTAACAAAGAAATATAAAAAGCACTGAGTCCCAAAAATAATAATGTCATCCCTTTGTGAGACCAGAACTATCTACTTATCTCTAAGTCATGTGTCTGTACTAAGAGGAGTGTTAATGGGCAGGCCATTTCCATGTGTTTGGTCCCACCCTCTTTGGTCTAGATAGTTAGTCCCAATCACAAGTCTCTTCTTCCCACTTAAGAATTAATTAATTATTGAGCTGCCACATGCTCCCTCTCTCTTTTTTTCCCCCCTCCCTCTTTGGTTTCTTTCAGAAGGCTGCTTTGCACTGATTGACATGGCGAATATATAGCTCGCTTTGTTTTATACTACCCATAAGATACTGCTTTATATTTATGTGCTTGTTACTTTTGTTTATTTTGTAATGAAGCTTGGAAGGGCTGTTTTTTCACCTTCCTTGATGGGATCGGGGGATCCCCACATGTTCATGTGTTAAAAGGAGTGGAGAGCGCCTTGACATAAGGGTTTATACTGCTCTGATGTCACCCTTCTCTCTCTCTCTCTCTATATATATATATATTCTGATATTTCATTGTATTAATAATCCCTTCATTATTAATTTCCTTTAAGTTGTACCTGATGATCAGGTTTTGGTTTCTGTTCATCTTATCTTTCTTTTTCTTCTTTTGGGGACAAGTAATCTTATCTGAACTCTGCATTGACATTACAAATAAATCACATCATATCAAGCTGATTCAGCATTATTTTTAAAAGATGCACTTATCTTGTGCCCCAGAGAAAATAATGGATGGAAAGTGAACGCCATCTTGATTAATAGAACGAAACGGCATTATGAAGATGGAATTTCGTAACACTGAATGAATATGGATATACATAGATATATAGATGTTATTACTCTCGATCTTCATGAACAACTTTAAATGTCTTCAGAGTGGGAAAGAGATCTTCTTTCATTTTTAAATCTCGAGTGTATATCTTGATATTATTCTTCTTCTTGCCATCTTTCTTCGATTAATTTTTGTTTGACAGAAAATAGATTCCGTTATCGAGGAGATTGCGGGTAAATGGCTATTCGATTCGACTTTGGCTGTCATGCACCACAGAAGATGGACGTCCGGCCATAAATTAGTCTTGGGGGAGCAATTATTTAAGTGGACACACATGAATGAATGATTTGATGTAAATTGACTTGTTACACTGATAAAAGTTACACACAAAGGCAAGATCAAGTATTTGATCGAATCTTGGAACTATCTACGGTTACGTATTCTCAAGGTTAGTCGGCAAAACCCAGAGATCTTTTTGCAAAACTTCTCTATTATGGGGCCCCATCGATTTTAACACAATATGTATATTTCACTAAAAAGGAATCTTTTTGGGTTAAATAGTCAAGTCTCTCATTAAATATAATTGAATCGCACTTTCAGTAAAAAGCTACTAATTCCTTATTTTTCACAAAAGTCATCTCAAACTTTTTATATCATATATAAAAAGCTAAACCCAAATATAATATCTAAACATATAATAAATATAGAAGGTTATCATATAGCCCATTTTCAATTGAGGATTCTGTGGAAGTTATTATATCTTTATTAATTATAATATCTGGGGTGTCCCTTGGATGGCGTGGCTGGGACGTCCTTTTTAGGTGTTTGTATAGTCTTATTTTCAGGAAATGGGCACATCAAAGTAAATAGCAGGAAGCTTTTGTAGGTGAATTTGGAGGCAGCAATATGTGGAGCATCATTTCCAAGCTATATGGGATGCTGTAATCTTCATGTGTTTATTGCTATTTTAACACCATCGATAACGGGTGCATTTATGCATCATATATACGTTCAAACATAAAATAAAAAAATATTGATGAGAAAGTCATTTTAATTAGACTCAATCATGATGTTGTAAATAATATAACTTATTTGTAAGGTTAATGTAATATTTAAAAAAAAAAGCAAAAGAAAATAAGCCCACTTCCTCTTCTCAACCATTCTTTTCTTGGTCTGGAGAGGTTCTCCTCCCATTTTTCGAAAACCTTAAACGCAGAAGGTTTGGTTAATTTTCTTAAATGATAAATGAGACCCACATTTGTAGATATTTCTTTTGACTGTGACTATTGTAATTTGTAAATGCCTTTCTCAATTATCGACATTCAAAAACATTTCCCTTCACTCGGTCTTTTATGTACACTGTGCTTGAATCTAGTAACCCATTTTGAGTTAATGTAGTTTTGGTTTCAAACTCTATTTATGATTTGGTACGATAACTACGTTAATTAGCTAAAACAGACACTCGAATGAATAATTATTTTTTTAAAAAAATTCTTCATGTAAAATGTTTTCATTTTCATGTAGCTGCTTTTTGCCCCCCTCTTAGGTGAAGCAAAGGACGTCTCCTCTCACAAACGTTAATGTTGGAACCAGTGGTTGCAGAGGTGGTAGCTAGCTAGGGAAGTTAGCTTTATGGCCGGGTGAACGAGATCCACCTTCCAATTAGTCTTTTTTCTCTTCATTAAAACGCTAATCCACTCCCACAATATTGCTTCTAGTTTTGAGTTCTCTCTCTTACCGTCTCCCTCCCTAGCTAACTTATAATAATCATGATCATAAGAAAGAATTTTTCACTCACAGACCAGAAATCTGTTAAAACATAAGCAAGCAGCTGTGGGGTGGGGCAGACGACTAAAATGCAGGATATGGTCCCAAAACACAACAACCTATATGTTAAGACAAGAGAGGTGTTAAGAGATTATGAAATGAATAGCAACAACCAACAGTCAAATCCGTGTTCATCAAGTGTTAAATTAAACAACGAACAACTTCCCTCCACGGGAAGATGGATCATCGTCACCAAACTTGCAGATGGGAAACAACTCATGGAAGCACTAGGAAGAAGCAACATCCGGTCCCTCCCACAGCTCCTCCTGTCCAACCCCAACATTTCCGTTCTTTCCTTTTCATTTCAAGTTTCTTGTTATTATTCGTATCAAAACGCGTCTAAACCAGCACAGCATGTGCCTGCCCATACCCCACACACACCCCATTCTTCCGAGGAAACACTTCTAATAAAATGGATACCTCTTTCAATCTCCTCGCTATACCGAATCCAATGTTTGTCCCCAGGCTTCTTGAACCTCAGATCCAACCTAATTTGTCCTCAACAATCCATTCCTACGCGAATGTCATTTGCCAGTCATTACCATATGGGATGCCTTGTCACTTTCGGTCAAGATTTTGTTAATGGATATTGATACGAATTGAAGAATGAATTAAGATGGTGATTAGGTGGTGGCTGGACCAATTAAGACCGGTGCTGATGGACGTGGGGGCGCAAGCAAAGCGAGAGCTAGCACACATGTGGTTGCATGAGTGGGTGAGAGGGTTGAATTATATAATTGCAAGTTCTATCTCTGTACCTCCAATTAAGTCGTCAAACAAGGGAGCAGGCTAGTACATTTTAGCATGTGGGTCTCATAATGGTCCTTCCTTCCACGTATATATCCTTGCCCACTACCCATAATTTATCCTCTAGCTACTGACAAATATGGAGTGGTCCTCTAGAGGGACAGCCTCCCTCCCCCTCCTCTAATCTTTCTTTTCCTTATGTATTTGTATCATTTTTCAAAGCTTTATTAGTTTCATCTTCCTGTGGTTCAACAGCTGTTTTAACAGATACGCTTTAAGATATATAAAATATGGAGTCTTAAAGAGGAAAGGATTAATCTAAACATGGCATCAACTATATGACCAATTCAATTAAGTTCAGTTGCAGAGTCGTAGTTGAACAGGGACAATCGCTTATCAATCTGTTATCTGTAGTGACACGCACGCACGCTCAGACACAGGGTCTCCCTAATTTTGAGCGTTTGGCATTATGCCTATGTCCTTAGCTAGGTTGGAGGCCCACGACACCAATTCTTTGTCATTAGCGTAACATAATTGAGGCTTTTTCATGACATACAATAATGAAGGTACGTACTGCAGCAAAGGCATTCCTTATGGAGTTTGTTGTATTATTGCAGAGAAACGAGGGAGAGCAAACTCAATTCCTCCTTCACTGATGTACGTATAAAAAATTATGGGGAGGACTATAAGGAAAGGAAGGCCAAGACCAGATATGATCACTGATTAGCAGTGGGGTAAAGAGACAGAGGATCAAATAAGATACCCTCCAAACTTTGGTGTGAAGTAAATCTCGTATGGTTTTATGGTTGCAGAAGGTGTCAGTACTATACATCTCTCCTCAATTCCTCTGCCCAGGTTCTCTGAAGCCGGCAGTGAGAAAACTATGCGCATGGCTAACCTAGAAAGACATGTAAAATCCAGCAGAAACGCCTTCCTCATCCTATTTGGACAAGTGGTCCTCTAAAACGTTCACAAAAATAGGCCCCCCGATCCTCAGAGAGAGCCAGAATATGAGGTCATGAACAAAGGTCCAACTGTCTAAGGTCATTTAATGTGCCTGCAAAGTCCCAAAAACCCCCCAGAATATTTTGTACGGTACTTTGAAAAGCCTTCACATGGAGATGCTCGGCACTTGGCATCACTTTCTAGGGCCTGCAGTCACAATTTACAAGCCCACTGTCTGACCTCTTCATCATTCATGTTCAGGCTTCTCAGGTCAGATTGGCGAATTATCCTTGAGAAGCCTTGACTGGTCTGCCAAAGCAGAACATCTTATTTTATTCTATTTTGAATTAAAGAGACAGATAGTAACTAGATCGTAATGAATTTTTACTTATAGAGGAGCTTTCATGTTTTCACGTTATTAGACTACACCAACAGTCCAACCCAGAACACCATTTTATTAATATTCCAAAGCTTACCCCTCACTAAAAAATGTGCTATACGAATGAACGCGGCGGCCAAAGCTCGTTGGTTGGAAAACGGGGTTTCAAAGTGCCTTCTTTCCACTCGCAATATTATCCCATTTCTAACAGTTCGTCTTTCGAGCAATCCAAAGTTGTCCAGCATGTACACGAAACACCACCACACTCTGTCCCATACTCCCATAACAAAACTGCCCAACCTTGATAAAACAAAACTCACCAGACTAAGTATTGCAAGACGTGCAAAGACCAAACAACTTATTTTTCTTTTAAACTTTTCTGGTAAGAATACCGAACAACTTCTGTTGGAATGCGGACAAGGCGCACGACCAAAATGCAAAGCGGATTCATGTAGGAAATGAGATAGCCATTAAGCAGATTGGGTTATTGCCGTTATTATTGTTTAAATCTTAAATTCAAACCATTCAGTGCAATTTAAACGGACTAGAAATGATGATCACGCAATCCAAGGCTCCGCGATGCCAAGAGCAAACAATTTGTTGCAGAATTTCGCAATTTGGCGTTTGCATATAGCAGGAAGCCAGATTCCGGCCAGTCTTTTAGCAAACGAAAATACAATGCACACAAAAGGCTCAAGTCCATAGTAGGTCCCTTAGTGATTTCCCCTGCCAACTACCACGAATACGGACCTTCCTCGAGGCAAGCATGTGCAATCTCAATCAACGGCGATTACTCACGAGCTTCAGTGTGAACGCAGAAGAAGCACTGAGAAGAAAAGTAATGGAGAGCGAGATTGTCACATTTGAAGGACAGATGAAAAGGCATCTTCCAAATTGAGATCCTTAGAATATACTCTGGGGTTATAGGAATCGACCCCCGCCCCTCAACTCAATAAATCCGAAAACGACTTATTTTGACTCTCATCTCCTGATGTCTTCCACTCGTTAACAAGTAACAACCCAACCATCATGCTGCCAGCGCACTTCAACAACAGCCATCTTTGGCAACTAATTTAACAATTATTGATCGTTTTCAAGATTGAAAGGAAAGCAAAGAGTAATCAACCAACCAACCAACCAGCCAACCACAAGATCTGATCTCATGACATGATAAATCTTATCACATGGTAAGAATGCACAGTATCTAAAAAGATAAACGGAATTAAAAAAATAGAGACAATCTAATTTGTCTTTGCATCAGTTTCTGCAAATTCAGGAAGCCCTCTGACAGCAGCAAGCAACTTTCACTAGGTATAAAGAAATTATTACTCCTGTCATCATACATTCGATGGTTTGAATGGCGCAGCAGACAAATGTATATAAATTATATGTACAGTTCCGATGCACCATTGAAGCTAAATATATGTCTCCCATCATCTGAATGCGTGTAGAGAATGGACGGAGAAAGGTAATATAAAAACAAAACCATGAAGCCCAAAAGCAATTGTCAAGCATTAATATCCACAGAGTTTGAACATGTCTTTGCAAGATGTTAACCATAGCATTCAATACCATGTACCAATGTCAAGATGCCCATCTCCATTATCCATTAAAGACAAATTAGACGGAACCCATCGGGCTGCATGGGATCATCATTGTGCTCCACAAGAACCTAGAACGATCATATTGAAATGTAGAGGCATCAAATTATGCAAAGTATTCTAGAGAATGAATGTTCAGAAAAGAGAATATGCCACAGAATTAAAACTAATGGCCTCCGTTTCCTTCCCAAATGCTAATAATACACACATCTGCCCTAAGGGAACACAAACTTGCTTATAGTGCCGAATCTTTGTTTGGGTTTTGATGGGGGGAGTTCCTTTTCTATTCCTCACGGTGAAGGATGATTGTCGATGTCAAGACATTTTCACATGTAAATCTAACAAGCCAAGCCAACAGAGAAAATCAGGTTTATATTATTACCTCTAGGCTTCAAATAGAGAAAATTATTTTTATGCAACGTAGTAAATAGCATAATTTAATGATACATAGAGTAGGTCACTGGAATGACTACACAAAACGCCCCTTATCAATACTCAGGTCCCTTGTGTTGAAGAAAGCCGCAACAACTCATGTAATTCATAAAAGACATCGAATTGGTAACCATAACAGAACTAGTGCATTCCCGGCGTTGTTATTTTATTGGCACGTCAATCCCAACATTTCTAATTACGTAATTATGCAATTAATTAAAAAAATGCAGCATAAAAAAATGGCATCTAATTTTCCACCAAATTCAGATAACATTTGCGCACCCCCTTGGTCCCTATTCTGTACTCAATAATAATCATTGAAAGCCGAATTGGATCTTACCTCAGCTCCATAATTGAAACACAAGAAAACGGAGAGTGAAGAGAGCTTCAAGCACACCCAAACAGGCGCCGACGAAAATATCGAGAACATAATGCCTCCCGAGTGTTATCCTAGAGAATGCAGTGGCAAGCGCCCACATCCAAACAAGGAAGAGGAACAGATTGACGGCCGCAATGTCATCTTGACCAATCCACCGATGAATGAGAGCGGTAACAGAAGGATGGGCGCGGGATTTCAGATCGGGCACGGAGTCGAGAATGGGAAGCCGAGAAAAGTAAAAGAGGGAAGCAACAAAGAAAGCCCTGGAGGAATGACCACTAGGAAAGGAGAAGTGGTCGACGGAAACGACGGCGTTGTACTCACCATGGTTGCCGTAGACAGGACGGGATCTGCGGACTAGGAATTTGACGGCGGCGATAAAGAGGAGGTCGATAAGGGAGCAGAAAAGGAGGGGCAAGAGCAAATGAGAGCGTAAAGGAGAGGAGGGAGGAGTAACGAAGAAGAGGGAGAGAAGGACAGGGAAGGTGAAACGGAAGTCGGCGAAGAATTCCAGAAGCAGAAGGATGGATCTTGGGGCGATCGGTCTCGTGAGTGTATGAAGAGAGAGAGAAATTGTGGCGTCCAAAGCGATCAAAGGGCGGAGGAATGAGGACGCTGCAGACTTCGGTGGTTCATGCCCCATGGCGCGCGCCCGCGTGTTCCCACGGTCGCCACACAATGATCCAAACAGAGATTAGGAAGTACCGAAGTAGGACCCACGGACGACGTCGTTCGTGGCTATTTCGGGACTTGGAATATTCCACAAGCCCAACAAGGCCCAATTAAACGCTACATAATTTAGAACTGGGCCTGTCGTCCTCCCTTCATTGCCCTTCAATAGCAGATTTCTATTGACCAAAACGTTATGTGAGGGCCTTTCCCCTACTGCCACGTAGCATGCATCATCATCGTTGTTGTTTGTATTGTGCTACAGCCTACAAGCTCGCAAGTCGTAACGCAAAGGATGGTGTGGCTGGGGGGAATCAATTGATGCGGAAAGCATCCGAAAATCACTCGCATAAAGAGCACTCATAGTAAATTCCTATATACTCGCGTTGACAAAATAATAATTCAAAGTTATTTTGGCATTATAATATTGCAAATGCTTCGCATATAATTAGCAATCATTTCTACCCCCAAAACATCATTTTTTGTCTTGTAATAATTGCCCCCCGTCATCAAAATTGTGCAGCACTACAAATCGTCTCTATTCATCACCATAAACAGATGCCGTTCAGCCATGACCTTCATTATTTATATATCTGCAACTTTGTCATATAAATGATGAAAGTTCCATCTTAACAATTCTTTGTTATGAGTCAAAGTCAAGACTCCTGAGAGCTTTTTGGCCTTTTTTCAAATTGGTGCTCCATTATTTTTCTTCCCTTATGATTTGTGTGTGTCGCAAGGTTGTTTATTGTGGAGCAGTCCATAAATTAAGGAGAGAAGGGCGTCATCATTATAAACTCCACCTAAGAGTTTGTCAATGAGAAATACATATGCAGACACTTTGGAACAACAATACGGCATGATCTTTTTGCTAAAGAAAAAGGGCATAAATAGGATTGGCAAGGAAAATCATGATTTGAGCCATTGGTCTAGACAAAAGACATTATTCTTCCAGCGCGCCTAGATTTGGTGGTGTTTTCATATCGCTGCCACTTGTAGTTGTCACTCAGAAATTTGAATCTATTCAAACTTGAAACGCATTCATCACCAAAGATACCAACCAAATCTTGTTTCTTGTCAAACCTTTTACCGAGACAATCAATTTACTGTCCCACCTTCGGTAAACCAACTCATTGTCTTATCTCCATCACAGATTAAATTCTTTCAAATTTGTTTCAGAATCATTTGCCTGCCAGTACGGATTCTTCATTCAAACACAGTTTTTTTTTTTAAAAAAAAAGAAAATCTTTCCGGCAAAATATGATTTTAGAGTTGGTTGAGGCTGAGAGGGAGGGAAGCATGCTTGCAGGTACGCACTTCCCGGGGCTCCAATCCAATGGAAATAGCAGGCGTGAGACGAAAGGCTGGCAACATTTGGCAAACCCAACTTCCTGCTGAGGCCACTGCTTTCACATATTACTTTCTTTGCACTTCTTTTGATTAATGGAGTCTAATCCCTAAAAGAATCATTAGATTAACCAATCTTGTCTCGGTTTGAAATTTTGGTATACAGGGTCAGGGTTTTCCATATTCATCCACGCTCAAATTCTCAAGCTTTTGGGCCATTCCGTGGTTGTCACTGTTAGGCAATTCCTATGATACCACAAAATTAATGCTAGTACATTATTATAACATAGTAATTTCACTATCCCAAGGTAATTGTCCCCCCTTTGAATGGGAATAGAATAGAGACTATGGTGCCGATGTTATATGCAACGGCTTGGAACCTAGGATAGGGTTGTGTAGCCCTAAGCGAAGGAAAGGAAGTGGAAGAAAACTCGTCGTTTTACCAGTTTAAATTTCAGTGCTTTTTTTATTTGCATATGCATTATCCTCTGTGCCAGTTTCCATTCTCTTCCCATTCTTCTATTCCCACTTCAAACTCCCATGAAAGATTCTTTCCACCCACTTTCCTTACAAAAATAAACCAACCAAAGCCAGGTTGATGACCAAAATACCCATGCCACCAAAAACAAATAAAGCAGTGCGCTGGAAAAAAGACTGAAAAAGCAAAAAACAAAGAGACCCTGGCTTTACTATTTTGATTGAAACTTCAGCCTCACGAGGCCAAGCCCTGCAGACTTAATGGTTGCTTTGATTTCATGCACCCAACTAAGGCCATCAGCCTTCTCCTCAGAGTTAGATGGCAGGCCGATGCTTTTATTAGAAAAAGACCTCACTTTATTTACCCAGCTGTATATATTCACCCACTCATCATTTTCTCTCTCTTTTTAAATTAAGATATTTCAATAAGACTCTCAGAAACTGCAAATCAATATCCTGTCACTATACGTATTCAATTTTAGCTCTCCTCCTCTCGTCCGAATTCTATTTCCTGAGTCTTCTGAGCTTCACATCACATTACATTTTCCCCCTCCGCTAATTAATACTCCCTCCGCCCCTTATTATAATATCCAAATTTTGGAATAAATTGTCTCTTTTATAAGATTCTCTTTGAATTTGTCTGAATATTTAATACAGTATTACGCATTTTACTCATAATTTAATGTATTTAATACATTTTCTTTTTTATTTATCTTATTATTATTCTATCACATTTATCCATTTATATATAAGGGTATATTTGAAAAAACTGTATTTACTATATATTAATTACTTTTAACTGTTTTCTTAAACCGCGCAATTTAATTAAAATAATCTTATAATAAGGAACAAAGTAGTACTATCAAGTATAGGAGCTGTGTGTGTCCGTTCCGTTCCATGAGGTCAGTTGTAAAGAAAATTTGATAAACTGCTGTATAAGAGAAATGTGAAAATGCCAGTGGAGAGGTTAAAATTACGTAATGAAATTATACTGTCTAAAAGGAGCCAAGAAATGTTGTGGTCAGGGTCACTCACTTTTGGAAAGAGACAAGAAACACAGTTTATGCAACCAACGGTTTCTTTTTTAGCTAATTTCTATCACCGGAGGGACAAAAGTAATACGTAAATTAAAATCCATTATCGTTCTTCTGCAGTTCATAACGCCAGAGCAAAGCCATTTAAAGACACGGTTGCGGTTGGTAAGAAGATACATTTAATATACTGCTTTAAACTGCCACTTATTGAAATATTGCTCCAGCAAAAAGAAAAAAGGGTGATTAAAATGAGATGGGCCTTAGTAATTTACTGCTACCATCAATACTAACGAGAGTCATGGGTGCTGCTTCCTATGCGAATTACTGTTTTGGCAAGGCACGATCAAAAGGTAAATGGCGGGCGTCCACGAAATCCTGCGTGTGCCATGCTGCACGCCATAGAAACTCCTTCCCACCCCCCTTTCATGAATCATGATTATTTTAAAAAAAAGAAAAAAAGAAAAATCAATGGAATTTGTTCCTCTCGCCTCTCGGAACGTGTTTCCCTCCCATGAAGAAGAACGGGACAGAATCCACGTGGGTAATTCTGAAATCTCTCGGAGGGCAAATACGTACTTTCCAGCTGCATACGGCTTAAAAATCCGTTTTATTGTCTGATAAACAACTCCACGTCTCTTCCACCTTCTTTCTCTCCTCTCCTTTCTTCTCTAGCAAAAGTGCACAACATGAGAGCTCCACCCAAACAACACCAACTGCTACAAAACGTATAAACGAGATCACGAGAGACAGAATCTAGCTCCATAGTAGAATATAGGAACGAGGTTTGAGGAGATCGAGTTGTCTCAATGGCGAGTGGGTGGGTTAAATCGTTGCATTGCAAGTCAAGAGCATTCGAAGACGTTTACCATCCAACCCCAAAAATTCTTATACCCAGTGCCAGTTGCAGAAAAAGCGTCCAAAGCATTAAGGACGTCGTCGACACTGCCAAGCCTAAACCCAAAAAACCCAGGCCGCCCCTCGAGAAGCACCCAAGTTCAAAATATCCTCGAACCACAAAACCCGAAAGCCCCTCCAGCCCCACGACCATGACCCGGAGAGTCTCTTCTACCCGGACAGTCCGTACACCCGAACCATTCCTTCCGTCCCTGATGGAGCTTCCCGAGGGACATCCGTCGCGTAACGTGGTGGAGATTATCTTCCATACTAGCTGGGGTCCCAAAGCCTTTATGGGTCAAATCGAGATGATTTTCAAGGTTGTGAACGCCTCCAGAACTGTGTCCCGCTTCGAAGAATATCGCGAAACGGTGAAGCGTCGCGCTGGTTCGGGGGCTCCGACCGAGGGGAGTGACTGGGAGGAGAATGCACGGTGCGTTGCGGACGGGAATGAGGTGATGAGGTTTCAATGTTTAGGTCCCACATCGGGAGGTGGCCCCTACGATGCCAGCGGTGGAGGAGGAGGCTGTGCATGGTCATTGTCAGGGGGGAAAGGTTCTGCGATTCGGACGTTTTCTGGCAGCGGAGAAGCCCATGAAAGCGGCGGCGGGGGGCGGGGCAGAAGAGCCATGATGGTGTGCCGGGTCATTGCGGGCCGGGTCTCCAAGCAAACAGGTTTCATGGACTCGCTGTTGGATGGTGGAATGGGGTTGGACTCGGTGAGTGGGGACAACGGCGAGTTGTTCGTGTTTGATTCGCGTGCAGTATTGCCTTGTTTTCTCATCATATATAAACTGTAAAAAAAAAAATGAAAGGATATGATTTTTACCACCCCTTCTTTATTGTGAATTTTTTTTTTTCAAATGGAAAATGTATGGAAGTTGAGGTCTTGCAGAACCTGTTGCCTGCACTTATCCACCGGTTCTTCCATTGCCTTCCTGTTTGGTTATTACGTGTTTGTGTGAGTATGAGGAAATCAGGTTGATATAATGCTGCTTAAAATAATTATGGCTTAAACTTGTTCTCTAAACTCGCAGAAATGAGGCGATTTTTAGATGCAATCCCATTGTGTCAGGAGGACGATGAAGGTCAGAATCGAATGTGAATTGTGGAATATAATTACGATGGCAAGACGAGATCGTCCTGTGCAAGTAAATCCTTGTTTTCACCGAATCTGAAGGCAATATTTGCCGTTTTGTTTCTTCCAATGTCTATTTCAAACACGGTTTACTTTTCCATGAAGAAATTGATACTACAACAGAATGGAGAAAAGCTATGGGTTCCAAAGATTCGGTTGAGAAGAGAGGAAAGAAAGGGAGGGGTTAACAAAAGAAAGGTCCCGCAGGGAAGCCCAAGAATTTAGCGAAAATGAGAAATTAAGGAAGTATAGCGCAAGTCACGCAAGGAAGGTACTGAACTTAGACTTTGCGTAACGAGAAAAAACAAAATTACGATCAAATGAAGAAGCAAAGCAGACTCGTTTATCTTTGAGGCAGATAGATGCATGAGTCTTCTTTTTTCTTTATCTCCTTTTTGTTTGGGCCCCATAGTCCAAAGTGCATCACACCACATAATAATAATGAGCCACACGCTGCTACTGCTTTGAGTGGGATAAAGGATGGGTTATACAACAAGTTCATTAATTCTTCAAAGTATTTTTGAGTTGGACTACAAAGCTTTTGCCTTGGGTGGCGTCCCAAAAACTGTGTGCTCCTCGGGCAAAGCACCGTCTGGGTCTCATTGACCGCCACTTTCAAAGACGATAATCGCTTTAAAGAGCAAAAGAAAAAAAAACGAGGGAAAAAAATCATACAGATGCAGGGGAAGGGAGCTGAGTTAACATTCCCTCTAATATACACTCCTCTAGCCTCATCATGCATGCTTTAGCTAGCCATCTTCACTTGTATCTTCAAACCACTAGTAATACTCCACCAACACATACAATGGCTTCCCATTCAACCGTTCACGACCCTGTCACATTCACACACATCGTTATAACTCCCGGGCAGGCATTGCTCCACACACGGCAATAGGTAGTCCTGGACAACAATCGATCGCTAAGATTGAGTCTAGGAGAACCAGAATAAGCATACCTTCAATTCTGGTAATTCAATTACACATGCACATTCCACTACTTCTGCTCCCACACGTTCTGGGCCCAACAAAGAAAAAACAATTAGATACCTAGCCATTAGCAGCAGTGAATAAAACAAAATGGGGGGAAACAGAGAGCCCGATTGACGTAAAAATACATTTGAGATCCTTCTCCATAGAAACATACTACTTTGAGGGATTACACCTGCTAAAAAAAAACTTATCTTTCAAAGTTATACTTCTGCATAATTAATTGAGTTTCAACACAGGTGAGCAGATAGATATAAGGAAAGAAGTAACCCCAATTCGTTTCTGCTCATTCATGATAACTGGAGTAAAACATCAATGAAATAATTAGCAATTAAGTAGCAGCCCATCTCCCCTCATTAAGAGAGCAGAGGCCCCAGTGCAGGTTATTTGGTCAAACTTATCTGATTGGAATACCGTCATGTAGAAGAATGGCCTTTTTTTTTTTTTTTTTTAATAAATCTGGTGACAAGAATGGCCTACTTTGAGATCACCATTTTCGGTTGATACTACAACTGGTATAGTCACTTACCTAGTAAGTCCATAGCTGCACAGAGCGTTCCACCAGTAGCAATCAAATCATCAACTACTAGTGCACGTTCTCCAGGCTGAACAGCTCCTACGTGCATCTCCAGGCAGTCCCTTCCATATTCCAATATGTAGTCTTGAGAAATAACTTTCCCTGCCATTGGCCCAAACTTTTGTTAATGCAAACCAGAAAGGGTATGTTATGTTGACTATCTCAATCAAAATTTCAACCTTGTCCAACCCAAATACAAGTAAAACTGTGAAACAACACCCACTCTGCCAAGAATCTTCACATATTATTGAGTTAGTGATTTATTTCCTGACAGTTAAAATATTAACAATCTCGTCAATAACATTAGCGGCAAAACATCAAACAATATTATCGAAAACTTAATCGAAGCAGTTCATTACTTCCTTCTTTAAAAACATATGCAAGTTTTCTTTGCTATAAATAAAAATCACACACAAAAGTCAACAGGCTAATGACTTAAATGAAACCAGCCTCAATCTTTAAGTTTGAAGTGAACATTCTACATAGAGCTGTGGTAACAACATCTGCCAATCGGTACCTCCTCGAACATAGCACCCTCTAAAGAACAAAATGGAAATCAGTTTCTCTACTCTTGTGCGAACATGATTTCCCAAGTAAACAGCCGGGCTTATTGCATCAAAGTTCTCACAATAAAAGCTCAAAGGAAATATAGGGAAATAGAAGACCCAAAATACTGGTCACACTTTCCCTACTGTTCCTCAAGGCGAGTAACTCTAATGCAACTGAAAAGCAAAAGTCACTACTATGCATGCTACACAGTCTTATCTAAAGCAAGAAGAAGTAACTGAACAATGCAGATCCACAAAGAATTTTCCCCATGTCAGCAGGTTATGTTCAACTTATCATGTACTGTAACTGAAAGAGGAAAAGTCATTGGGACGGAAGCTACAAAGACTTATGACAAACTGCAATAAGTAACTGAAGAATGCATATCCATAAAAACTTTTTCCCATATTAGTAGGCTGTGATTCAAATTATGGCGTGACAGGTTGCAACACGTTCAATTGAACAATTCTTGATGTATTCCAACTAGCTTCACAAAATTGAGATCAAAAGGGCAAGGAACTAATTTACTAAAACTGTCCCACGTGATGATGAAACAACTGGGCAGTGTTATTAAGAAAATTAGAGCAGCATTAAAAGGAATAGAGAGTTTAAGAGCTATTTGAGGGAACAAGAAATGTGTTAAACGGAAAGGTGAAAACTTACCTGGCAGTTTCTTCGGTTTTCTCAATGGCACAAACTTGGCTCCTATTGCCAGTGCAATGGGAGGGCCAAATATAAAACCCCGAGCTTCAACTCCTATTAAAAAAATAGAATGAACTTGTTCTTCAGAATCCACGGTTACAGACAAATTATCCGTTCATTACTGCAGACCAAATGTTGTGCAACAAGACCAGCGAGAAAAACGTATACACGTACTGCTATTTGTTATTACTATTGAATACAATAAACATAAATGGAAAGAGCATATGAAAAAATGACAAGCTTCTTTTTTTTCCCCCCTTATACTTGCACAGAAGATTCTTTTTCACCGAGAAAATTTCACTTTACTCTCTAAATTATAGTTTAATTGCAACATTCGTATTTATAATAAAATTTTGTCATGGAAACTGTCATAGAAAGTGGTTTGCCCCCGCCCTAAAAAAAAAAAACATTATCAGAGTAGGTGAAGCAGTTATTTATATATCTATGAATTTCAAGGTCTAGTAACAACGTGAACAGTAAAAATGATTTTTAAGCATTTAAAAGTCAGCTCGTGTGATCTGTTCTGAGAAAAGCTACTGATATCGTTTTAAGGAAGATTTTTTAAGAAAACAAATAGCACAAATCAACTTCAAAATATTTGAAAACCAACGTACGTTATATGAAATAAAGCAGACGGTTGCAAATTTTACTTTTTGTTTTTCTAAAAGTAGATCAACCAAAACAAGTGTTAAGTTTTAAAGCGTTATAAGTATAAATGTTGTAGTAAAGTTATAATTCAAGGGGACAATACTCATACGTCATACGAAAGCAATGAAAAGGGGAAAAAATTACTATAGGGATGGAGCAAACGGGAACATTTCATCTAAGTAACATCAGACAAGGAACAAGCTCTGTTCAGTACCAAGTTGTCATGAGAAAGCTATATGCGACCCAAATTGCATGGGACATGTAACCCCCAAAAAAAAGTCATCGTAACCAAAGCAAGACACAAACCGAAACATCAAACAGCAAGCCCTGCAATGCAAGACTTTCCATGAAGTAGACAGGAAGCAAGAACTAGCGCTCTGAGGTCAGATCCAAATGATGAAACATGGTAAATCATATGGTTTTTTAACAAAATGTTAGCCCTTCAACTGAAAATGCCAACGTAAGAAGACTAAATAAATCATTCAATCTGGACGACAAATTATTCAAGACCCCATGAAGGAACCACACGACATAACACCAGTCTGCCTCGTAAGTCTTTCATGCGCACTCATAACAAAATCTGTTTGGCTGAATGACGGCAAAGACCTTACGTGCCCATATCTGATGAAGAAATTGATGTTGCTAAAATTGCAAATAGACTTCTGTCAAAATAAAAATTTTAAGATTTTTTGGTTGAAAAAGGCAACTTTTAAAATCTAACGAGCAGAGTATCGTGAAATAATATAGACTAGTACATTGTACCAACCAACGGAGAAATTTTACATTTTCATAACTGGGCAATAAAGAGAATTGCGTAAAATACTTCTAAAAAAGGGAATATAGGATAACATAATGGTGATCTAACTCGTTCTCTGAACAGAACACAGTAACAGTACAACAGAAATGAAGGCCCTGCTAGACGAACGCTTGTCCCAGCAAATTATTTTGCACCGAAGACTTTGGGTGAAATTGTACACAATTTTTGTCACAAAAAAAAAAAAACTGTACACAATTTAGACAGGCTATAGATTGGATTGGCCGACAGTGAAAGAAGACAAGGTAAAATGGGGCCTCTCGTACTTGCTTTGTCAGCAGAGTAGTGTAACATTACATTCATGGCACTAACATCAAAAGATTTGCATTAATCATTAGCTTAAGGAAGGTATCATAATATAGCCAGCCTACAGTTTCCCCACAACCAAATTTCTAGCACATATCCGTAAGAAATTATTGGCAGAAAGACAACTAGCTAAGGTTATTCAGAAAGAAGAAGCACAACTACAAGGGAGATTTAGGGACTGCAAAATGAAGAGAACCACTTACATAAAGTACGTTGCTATAATCCTAATAGTTTAGTTATAGCACATTGCTATAAGTCCTAATTTGAACAGAAATTAAGGGACTTGAGGAGGAGGGGGAAAGAAAGAACGACAAAAAGAGAATATAAGAGAGATGGAGTTGGAGGTTGAAGTCGGCAAACAGTAAAAGTTGGGGAGGCCCCAAATATGGTGGAGCAATTGGGAAAAAAAAAATTGGGAAAAAAAAAAAAGGAAGGCCGAGATAACAGTGGCGGCATGTGGGTCCAGTTAGCACAAGTGGGCAACGATCACCAATCGTCATTCATGCAAATAGGGTCCGAGCACATGCCCCTGGAGCAGAGAGAAGGAGAGCAAGCCGAAGGAGAGCCGCTCGAGACAACTAGAGAAAAAGCAATCAATGGCAAAACCCACTAACAATAACTTCATAGTCAACCATAAAATCACTCCCCGAAACCCACACACACACACACTCTCATTTCCCTTCCATGATGTCCTTGTAAAGCAATTCAAAAAGAGAACCAGAAACTTGTGCAATACACAGCGTTTCTGCATATTCTGGCCAAACTTTCTTGTAAGCAATGGACCCCGCCACCTTCTAGCTCACCACAGTGAAAAAGCCCCACTAACAAAAGCTTTATATCAACTCGTTCATCCGGGTCTCAACATTTTTTATCCCAAAAGGACGCCCTTTTTTAAGCTTACCTGCAACAACAGAAATGTTTTTGCCTTTGTATCGTTCCACGAACAAGTCAATTGTGTCCTTAAAGGCTTTGGGATCCAGCAACAGAGTTGTGATGTCTTGGAACATGATCCCTGCCATTGCAGCCATTAGTCAGCGAACTGGGAAAAATGACAAGAACTTCTCCTCCAACAGAAAAGTTGAGAAATTTAGACACCAAAACAAAGAGAGAACTGAAAGCCTCAGCCCTCAAGTAGATTGCAGACGGAGGGAAGTTTCTTTTCCAGAAGAAAATTGAGAGGAAAAAAAAAGACGTAGGAAATTAAAATGATTATGAACAAAGAAACAGAGCATGTATATTGAAGCTCGTTTAGTTATATCCTTTTTGTGTTGCAACTGATGCACGGTAACACGAGGAAAATTAAGAAAAGAAAAGGGGGAGAAACAAGACAAACCGGGCTTGGGGAAATTGGGGACGACACGAATCTTAGTTTTGATGCCAAGAATACGAGGATCCTCATTGGTGCAAGCAGACATTGTGTGTTGGGTAGAGAGCAACAAGGAAGAAGGATGTGAGAGGAGAAGGAGGAGCAGTTTCAGAAGGGAGGAGAGAATAAAAGAGAAGAATATAGAGATGAGGAAGAAGAAAAGGCGCAGACAAGAGGGGATATTTATAGAGAATGTGCGTTGGTGGGCGAAGGGTAGAAGCGCACAAGAATGTCAAGACTTTTTTGAGAGATATCGTACCAAAGGGTTAAAACTGGATTTGCAGCTCACAAACTGCTTGGAATTTACAATTCATACATTCCATGGTTCCTTTCTTTTCCACCCTGAAATTATTAACCATGTCAACTTCAAACAAAAATGGAAAAAATTCCTATTACTTGACTTAAAAACAGAGCAATCACCCCACCTTCACTGAGTGCGGCTCGGCTCATTCAGAGTTCGCGCGCTGTGTTATCCGCCTCTCCTGTTGCATGCCTAATGCCTTTTACTGTCCACCTTGCTTCCTCTATACCATTTCCCTACCTATTCAATTCTTACATGAAACCAAAAACATACCACTCCCTTCAATTCTAAACATAAAAAAGTTAGCTTGGAGATTTATTTTGATACTAAATAAATTATCTAGTGGTTTTACCAGTGTATATAAATATTATGGGAGTCTCAGCTTCTTTCAAACAACCTTATTAACGCATTAACACATTTTATAACATTAGTTCGACTGCATTTTCTTGGTATGTTGAAAAAGGGTCAAGCTTCTTTATGGACCAGCGTCTGCCATATATTCAGTAAAGTGATTCAAATCAAATAATTCTTAAATTTCCTTTTTCTTCATATGAAGTAGATGTACCAGTACAAATTTCTAACTACGTGATCGTAATTAATGCACATGGATCATTCCCAGACAAAATATGCTGCAGAGTTAGTAGGATCATATACAGTGGCATCGCAAATTTGGGGAACAGTACGTACAAGCGTAATAAGTGTAAAGTAAGGGCAACATGTTTGCTGGTAATATATATATATATATATATATATATATATAGGCATCAGAGAAACTTCTCCAGAACGCAGGAGGTATGAAGTGAATAATGATATTATATATACACACACATATTCTGTGGGAGCAACAACTACTTGCAATCATTTACAGCGTTACAGAGAGTGAGAGTGGTGATGATAAGATTGTAGAAATCATTATTAAGAAAGCCAAGCCAATCAAAGCAAAGGGCTTGTGGAGATGAAGAATCTCTTTCAATAGCCATATACACAGTGCTTTGTGGGATTATTTTTCTTACTTAAGTGGTCCACGGAAATGGATAGTGTTTTCCCCCTTTTTTTTTTTCATAATATTGGTGACAACACCACGGTCACCTATTCTATTATTAATTGTTAATCTCTAGTCCAATGACTCCCATTTAATCCCCCCCCCCCAAAAATCAATAGTATTATATTGTAGTTGTCCTGACCTTTGTGTGTGTGCGTATACATTTATCTGCGAAGAACAAAGAATGGAGACAGAAACATGAGTGTTGGGAGTGAATGAATACAATGTTATTCAAGCACGATACTGACGGAGCTGCCTCCACTGGACGCTACGTCTTAGAAGTGTCTTTGTTTATACAATATTATCTGTTTATCATGACAAATATAGAAAAATAATGAACCGTGGGCAAACTAAACTGATACGGAAATGTTATTAATAGTAATAGTTGGCATAAGATATAGGTTAGATGAGGGGAGAATAGAGAATATGTTATGGAAGAGATAAGGGGGAAGGGTGAGGTGACATGTATAAGCCAGCTAGAAAGCAGAGGCAAGTGAGAATGAATACTGAATACTCATCTCTTTCTCTCTCTCTCCCTCTCTCTGTAAATCAGGGAGGGAGAGATTATCAAGAAAGAAAAGGGTTGCTTTCAAATCTGCACAGTAATATTCTGTGGGCTACTCTCGGCCCTTTCCCACTCACCCAAATATACCCTTCTTCTTTTTATTCTCTTTTTATTATTTAACTAATTAATCGTAATTAATTAATGCCACCCACTTGCACAGTTCAGCCTACTTCCACATTTTATATGCATGCTTTCAATTCATGAAGGTCTAAACTAATGTATATGTATACCACAGATTCTTACTTGCTATTTCTCCTCTCATTTGGTTTTACATTCTTTTTAATTCTATATTAAAAGTGTGTTTTTTTTCACTTAAAAAAACATAAATTTGCAGTTAAATTGATTCATCTAGAGAGGTTTTGTTTTTCACTAAAGTGTATCAAAATTCATGTGACACCAACTAAAAAAACACATCATAAATCAACTATATTCACGCATTCTTGCATTTGAAAAAGAGGGACAACAAATTAGAAAAGCAAACGCTTAGTCCTTATGTTTTTAGTTTTAACTTAATTGCAATACAATTCCTAAACGTTAAGTCTATACAAACTCAATCTTTATAATTTTAACTCGTTTAGAATTGAACCCCTTGATTTTAATTAGTGCAACTCAGTGCTAGCCTCCTCTCTATGCTTTTTTTTTTTTTACCTAGTTAAGAAAGTTCTGTTAATAAATAATCACGGTTTAAATTTTCACCTTACTTTCTTACTATCATTCGTTGAAGTGTATATGTTGTTTAAAGCATAATTCATCTAATTATGTAAATTTATGTTGTCTCTGGAATTAGATGTTGTGCTGTTTGTTTTTAATAATACATTTTTTTCTCTTTTGCTTCGGCTGTGATATGAGAAAAGAGTTTTGAAGTTTCCTACATGCATCCATTCTATAACTTCCCAACTAAAGTAACGAGTGACAACAACAGAATATGGATAATAACTTGCAAGACCAAGCAAAACCACTAAAATGAAATGAATATACTCCCTTTAGTCTTTGCTATAAGATATTTCGTCGTTATCCTTAAATATCTCAGACTTTTTGTCTAAAGTCTTAATTTTTTCTCCTAAAAATTTTCTCTGCTTTAATATGTCACAAGTAACTGATGACACAATGTCATCTTATAAATAAGTTTCACTGAGGGTAATTTTAAAATTTTAAAATTATTATTAATAAATATTAATAGATTTATATAATAAAGACAAGAGGAATAATATCTTATCACGGATTAACAGGTCATAAAGCAAATTCACGAGTTAGAAATTAAGTTTTAGTATGAATAAATAATTAAATATATGAATAGCAGACCCAACTAAAAGCTTAGGAGGCACCCCGGGGTAAATCCAATGAAATAAGTGGAAGCTGAAACTGTTTTCACTTGATCTGTTTCAAAATGATTGTCATTTTACACACACCAATTGAAAAAATTACTAAATAAACTATAGTATATTAATTATATTAAAATGCCTTTATACATTAAATATCATTTCTATTTACAATGGTCCATCTAATTATATATTTTGCTTGTGGGCAACTGTGTATTTATTTGATTAGGTAGCGAGCAACAGAAATGATGCTGCGTCGGGGGGTAAAGAGTCGGCTGATCATTAACTATATACAATTAATTGTAATACGTACCAAAGTTTTTATGTCAACTAAAAGTAAAATTTGGGAATCTGCCCCTTCGGTGCTTCATAAGGGGGGTGTATATGTATCCCTCCTATTTCTATTTATACATCTCAGGTAATTGGTCCTTCCCTCTCTAACTTTAGACTGTTCCAATATCTATGTTCCAACCCTCTATTATACTATTATATTATTTTTCTTACTCCAATAATTGTTGCCCCCTAACACTATTAGTACTAGTTTAATTTCCTTAACTTCAAATGCGGTTGTTTAATTTTTGGTCTAACATACATCTATTCATTAATATTTCATAACATCCATATATATGACAAATTTTTCATCTCAAATGGGTGTAATATCATATATGTTTGTGTCTATTTCAAACCCAGCTTTGAGTTTGAGAGTAAAGTGGCTGAATCTGCAAAATTTTGTTGAAATTTCATCAAATATTACTTACTTTTACTGAAAACAGGAGAAGTCTGTAATACTCCTCCGGTCTTTAATATAAGACCCATTTAACTAATTTGATTAGATTAAGGAAGTTAGTTAAGTTAGTTTATTATAAGAAATGTGACACATTTTTCCTAAAACACCATAATCATCTTTCTTAATACTACATCTCCCTCTTCTACTTGATTATGGTTGAGGGAGTATCTATAGGAGTAATTTAGAGAAAATTGATAAATATGATAAATAGACCTTATATTTAGGATCAAAACCAACTCAATAATTAGGTCCTAGGACCAGAGGAGTAACCTACTAGCATAAGAGATGTATAACGTGGAGATGAGGGAGAAGACCTCCCGAGCTGTTATCATATTTATCGTGCATGTTAACTAAAAGTATCATTTCCGGCAAGAGATCTTATAAGTTGGGAAAACGTGATAATAATTTAATGTCAATTTGATTTTTTTTTAATTATTGCACACATTTCTTTATTAATAGGAGTCAATGAACAAATATACTCCTTTTAGATATATACCGATGTTTTAATATTAAGCTGCAATAACTATATACTTTAAACCTATATAACAGTATAAAATTTCAACAAGCTGTACTATTTTTTTTTATAATCACAATTTGTATTACCAATTATGAAATCATCTACAGTTCATTCAATTATTTACGATTTTCACATAACTCATGTAGAATTAATCACACATAAAGTATATATGTATATAATCAAGATTCAGATAATTTTAACATTTTTTATGCTCATGGCTGGTTAAGAGTCAAATGGTTGATCCTATAAATAGTAAAACTCACTATTCAAATCTGCCACAGCATACAAAAGCCACATACACTAGTTATATATGTTTTTTCAAATTAGAGTTTCTTCATAGTATATATTGCACAAGAGGACTAAAATGAACAACTGAGTATATTTTAATTTGATCAGTAGCATCTATTAGAACATCAAGATGAAAGTCACTCTCTTGAGAAGCAAATGAAAATTCATACAGAGTTTATTTATAATTATATGATTAGGAAATATACAGTTTTCAAATTAAAGACCAATAAAGAATTGATAAACGTGTACCAAGAAATCTGGCCAATAAAAAGTCCAGAGAAGACAATGCAATTG